TGTGGTGGTGTTGTGGTTGAGCGGAGGTGATGATACGAGCCGTGGTGGTTGTTGATACGAGCGGTGGAGTGGTGGTAGAGTCCGGTGGCAGATTGAGGATTTTTTTCTGGTGGGGTGTTGCAGTGGTGCTGGTAGTCGTGAGGGCGATGTGGTGGTTTTAGTTGTGCTGGTGGTCGTGTTGTGTGGTGTGGTGGTCGCGGCAGTGACGGTGAGATGTCGGTGGCTGTGGTCTCGAGTGCGTTGATTTGTTTTCGATCGTGGTGTTTGTTGTAGGGTGATGGTAGCGGCGATGTTGGAGGTATTGATTGTTTGGTGGTGGTCACAGATTAATTTGTTAATTGTAATCATTAAATTGGTTAATATGTGAACAATAAATAATAAGTGACCAATAAATTACTTGACTCAGTTGTGGTGGTGAATGTGGTGGTTGTGGAAATGGGTGACATTGGTGGTGCTGGCTGTGGCGATTTAAGGAAATAGGTAGATGCGATTTGGGGTGGGTTTTGCTGGCTGCAGTGGCAGCGACGATGGTGGTGCTGAAAATTGTGACCATGCTTGTGACTCTCGATTGTGACTCGCAATTGGATATGTAACCTGAAAATTGTAACTGTGACTTCCAATTGTAACTCACAATATGATTAAATTGTGACCGAAAAATTAATCGTGACCAATTAATTCAATAATTTGCAATGAGTAAATGAATTGTGATCAATAAAAGTTTTGAATATGTGATCGATGAATAATCTGTGACCTGTAAAATTTTTGGATTCGTGACCGAAAAATATTTTGTGACCTATAAAATTTTTTATCCGTGATCAAGAAATAAGTTACGACCAATAATTTGATAAGCTGTGACTAAAAATTAATCTGATATGTGATCAGTGAATAATTCGTGATCTGTAAAATTTTTGGATTCGTGATCGTAAAATATCCTGTGACTTATAAAATTTTCTATTTGTGACCGAGAAATAAGTTACGACCAATAATTTGATAAGTTGTGACTAAAAATTAATCTGTGACTAATTAATTAGTAAATATATTAAATTAATAAAATGATTCATTAAATAATTAAACCATAAATAAATTTTAATAAAAATCTGATTTTTGAATTTTGAAACTTGTTTTCTTAATTTTGAAATCTACTATACTTAATCTCTCACTTATGAAATTTTCCTTTAAAAGAAAGTGCGTTTCACGAGCAAAATTAATGGCACTTTCGGATGGAAACCCACGGAAGTGCCAAAATTTTCCAAGAATGTAAAGGTTGAGACCATTTGCACTGAAAAATTTAAAGCTTGGACCACAAACATAAGATGAGCAAAGGTTTGAAACCATTTACGTCAATTTTCCTAAAATGATAGCTGATAGGCATGGGCCGACAAGCTTAATGAACCCAATTATCGCCATTTTACTGGGCCAATCAGTATAATCGGGTAATCCAATGGGCCGGTAAGAATTGATTAATTTTCTACCCTTTTCTTTTCCATTTTTTTTAAATTTTTTAAATTTTTAATTTTTAATTTTTTTTTTTTTTTTTTGATTTTTTTTGGGGGGATGAAATTTTCTATTATTCCAGTAGAACGAACCCTTCAAATTTAGGTGCTGAATCAAGCGACGCCTTAGTTGATCTTGTCATGACATAATCATGATTAAATTATCTTGATTAGACAAGTGCTAAAAGATAATTTAGAAGCAAGATAAGATTAATTCACTTTACGGTGGTGGAGGGTGACCAATATTGACATAAGGATTACATCATACAATCTCAGGAGTAAGCCCTGGTCATCATTGTGAAAATAATGCTTTGAATATATATATTTTTTAAATGTATGATTAAAAACCAGGAAAAAATTAGCTGCAAAATATTTTATTATGTGAATATGTGTTTGAAAATGAGTATAAGAATTAAAGAATTTTGTTTTAAAATGACACAAACGGAGGCTAAATTAAATTGTGTAAGATCGGATTTCCTAAAATATATAAATCCAAATAAGTATGTTAAATCAAATAATATTATCATGATTAAAAGAGTGACATTTGATCGTTGAGAGCACTTATTATCTTTGTAGAGGAACAATCCAATCTTGAATTGGCTCCCTTCGCATGACTTAAAAAATAAGAGAAATTATTCTGTGATATTACAAAACCTCCAAATTTCCTAATATAGCCATACTTCGTTCTATAAAAAGTTGAGCTCACGTCACTTTTCAATCCTATGTTCTTCTAGTTTGGGCTCGACGAGTGGTCAATGGAACTACATCCCTACTCACTTGGTCAGTGAATATCGATCTAGCCGCTTAAATGTACTAATCATTTGACGGTTGGATAATTATTGAAGAATACCAACAAATTTGTTGTCTATTTGGACGTTGACACAATCCACTATAAAGCTTGACTTATCCAAGTTAATATGCATATTAAGTGGAAATGGATCACTGATCCTTTGCACACTTGCCCGCGAAGTTTTTGGCCAACTTGGCTAATAAGTAGTGTGGAACCATGCATATTCCTTCACATATCAACCCTTTGTGACAAGGACTTTGCTTATTTGATTGGACAAATATGTGTTTCCTACTATTTGGTATACAACTTGTTGAAGCAACACTTCAATAATTTTTAGTTTATTCGTAGTAGTATTTTCTCATTTTCTTGATAAGGGCATCTTTTGTAAGAGAAAGAAAACGAGTATATCTTGTAAGAGAAAGAAAAACGTATGGAAGATTTACCAGTCAATTCAACAATGGTCATTATTGACAGTTAGTCACTCAGATTTGTAACAGTTATATTAATTATTATTAGGCTGAAAATATCAACCTAGAATCTTACGTGTCACTGTTAAAACAAACAACTTAATTAATACAATCACGTCACACCTAATTTTGTTTCCTTTCGAAAAATCACTTGACAACATACAACTAATCCCAATAGAACGACTTAAAATACTTGATACCCAATCTGCAATGCTTGCCCAAAGGGATCGATCCCTTCTTCAACCTTAACCCAATATAACATAGCGTACTAATTAATGTCTTTGGTATACATTGTGAAATTTGACTTGTTAGATTGATGTTTCTAGTTAAGTGACCATTGGCGTAACTCTTTAGTAACTAAATTACTACAATAACCATTTTGAAATTTATTACAAAATATTAACTAGAAGATTGTTCAAATTAAGTTCCAAAAATAATTCCATAATTAGATCCCAAGTCAAAACTTTTATCAAACCTGATCCTCACAATGGACAGTTTGTGTCGGCACAGAACATACGAGAATCAAAGAACAGAAATCCTCCGGTATTTGCGCGCGTAGAGTATGATTGGAATATCTTTAAATGCGCAATGTCTTTCTCAAGTTTTTCAGCTACAATTCCTTTTCCCCCAAATTCAAACCAGAAGGAGAAATATTTACTTTTCCCGAGCTACACCAAGTTATTCTTCCCCGTTTCAAACGAACTTCGGTTCAATTTTAACCAGCTTCCCGTTTATCTCCATTTCGAGTTGTAGACAAACCCAAACTATTTTTTGTGCAACTATGGAAGATTACAATAATACTGCGTTTGAAGCCCTTTCGTCGGATAAGTATTTTAAAGAATTGGAACTCGCTGTAAAGGCAGTACAGATGGCGTGTTGGCTCTGCCAGAGAATTCAACAAAGTTTACTTTCTAAAACAAATGATCATGTACAATCCAAGGATGATAACTCTCCTGTCACAATTGCGGGTAATTCTTTTACCCTTTTCTTGAAATGGGCCCCGGTTAAAGTTTGTTCTCTGTATCTTCTTTTACTTTTCTGCTGGTTTTCGACGCCAAATTTTTTATCTCCTACTCTTCCAGTTTTTTAATTCGATTATATTCTGTGGATTTGGATTAGAAAATGTGGCAGAAATTGCTGGTAAACGAATATGTTAGTTTGCATCCCACCTCCTCATTTTTTTTGGGTTAGTTTCCATTTAGTGAGTTAAACTAAGAAACGTGCTACATGTACGGCAAGTTATACATCAATTTGTAGAGCTCTCTCACACTGAGAATGGGTTTCGTGAATCTCGTGTGGGACCCGTGTGAGAGGACTGTAAATTTTATATCCCTCAAACGTTGTAAAAGTATGTTTAGTTTAAGAGAATGGGTTTTGTGATCAAAATAATCGTGGGCCCCACACACGGGAGAGAAGTAATTTTTATAGCCCTCAAATGTTGTATAAGTATCTTTTCTCTTTAACTAAACGTTTCTGTTATCTATAAAAGGAATTATAGTGTTGATTCCATCTTACTGATTACAGAACCTGTTAAACTTTCACTTTACACAAAATGGGATTCGAATTCGCCAATGAAACTGGATTTTCCTAATGTCAAACCAAACTGGACTTCATGAGCTGACATTGAAACACACACATGAGTTTAATTTTGTGTGCGTCATTATAAATTTTATGCGGAGGAAGAACACTATATGCCTCTGTAATAATAAAGGAGAATATTTAAGATCCCGACTTTGAGCATAGAATTACTTCTGCAAAAGTTTAGGACTTGACAGTTTTACTTTCAAAAGGTCTAGCTCTAATAGGTTTATATATGACATAGGTTGGATCGGCTAATGCTCCAATTGCTACTTGTAAGCAGATTGGAGTGTCCAAGGAATTGTGAGCTGGGTACTGTCTGAGTCTCTTGGTAGTGATAATGTATCCATTGTTGCTGAAGAAGATGTTCAAGTACTATCCAAGGTTGCCGCAATAGGGTTACTGGAAGCTATAGTGAAGACTGTTAATGAGTGTCTGTCCGAAGCACCCCGGTTTGGACTTAGAGCACCGGTTATGGCTCTCAGTACTTCAGAGGTTCTCGAGGCCATTGATAGATGCAACTCAATGGGGGGCTCTAGTGGAAGATTTTGGGTGCTGGATCCTGTTGATGGCACATTGGGATTTCTTCGTGGGGATCAGTACGCGATAGCACTTGCTTTGATTGAAGATGGAGAACCCGTGCTTGGAGTTCTAGGATGCCCAAATTATCCTGCGAAGAAGGAAATGTTGAGTTACCATGATGGCTATTGTAGAATTGCATCTAGGTTAATGTCACTGTCATCTGAATCTTGGGATAAAGGCTGCGTGGTTTATGCAAGCAAAAATTGCGGTAATGCTTGGATGCAGCCGTTACTTCATAAAGAAAAGAAATTTGTTTGGCCGAACTCTGCAAGGCAAATCAAAGTCTCCACTGTTGATAACCCAGCATTGGCGACCTTTTGTGAACCAGTCGAGAAGGCTAATTCAAGTCATTCCTTCACAGCAGGAGTAGCTCACAGTGTTGGACTTTGGTAAATATGCTTCTGCTTTCAGAACTCCATGCCTGGGGCCAGTATATTATCATGATTGATTTCCTATGATTTACTTGCTGTCTTCTAAATTAACCATTTTATTCCCAGTGTGCAATAACTTAACTAATAACTCAAAGAAGTCAACAGATAAGTATCTTCACCACCCCACACCACCCAAAACAAAACAAAACTGAATTTGGAATCAAACCATTTTCTGTAAATGAGTTCATTTTGTGTAAAAACTTCACTACGGGTGTTGATCACAGGAATCAACCATTACGTATTCATTCCATGGTAAAGTATGCAGCCATTGCCCGAGGAGATGCTGAAGTATTCATGAAGTTTGCCCGGGCAGGCTACAAGGAGAAAATATGGGATCATGCGGCTGGTGTTGTTATCGTTCAAGAAGCCGGTGGTGTGGTAACCGATGCTGGAGGTCATCCTGTGTGCTTTTCTAAAGGTATGTACTTGGAAGGTCTCGACCGGGGTGTAATTGCCTGTGCTGGAGCTATATTACACGAGAAGATTGTCAAGGCTGTTGACGCTAGCTGGAATTCTTCTAGCCTTTAATTCACTTGTACATTGCCAAGTTATCCATAGTTTGTCATGGCATTTTAAATATAGTAATAAAATGTTCATCAGGATAATACAAGATCATCATGCTATATGAATAAAATGATTATGTTTATTTCTTTATAGCATGCGTATCATGAGAAGTTGGTGTTTTTCAAATTCTTATATAACTCCATGGCCTAATTGTCAAGTGTGTCTATATTAGTCGACCAACTTCTTTCTCTGAACCAATTATAAAATTTAGGCTTTGGTTCCAAAAAATGGATTTCTAAGTCTTATCATCGTATATGTATTTCACAATTGCGTGTTTTACACATTTGTCACACTCGTGCATCTAACAATTTAGTTGTTATTGAGCCCCTAATCTTGGATGGCCTCGTAAACTTGTGTGTCAAAATATATATCCCTCAATTTCCAATCTAAGTTTCGTGTTGATGTGATTAGTATCTACTATGGTCTACCTCTATTAGATAGAATCATTCGCCTGAAATTTAATTTGCTGAAAAATCAATTTTTTTCTACAAATATCATCTACACCTAAATTTAGAACCTAAAATACTTTTTGTATGAATGTGCAATACCTATCCTACCCTCACGCACACCACCCTCAAGTCCTCAACCCCCTCTTAAATGCTTTTTACACCTCTATTTAGGTACTCTCTCCCACCCTTCATTCTTCTTCTCTAAAAGAAATTTTGAAACGAACTCTACAACTACCTTTATCGTATTAGCTTTCATACTCATTTCACCTCACTTTTGCCTCCTAACGCCCCCAAGCCCCCCTAGCCATCCAAAAAACCAACCAATGACCACCTCAGCAGCTCCAGCAGCAAGAAGGGTGGTGTAAACAATGGTTGTGGAATAGGAGGCTTCTTTGGGCGGGGAGGCAGGTTCGACATACTTGGGGTCTGGACTGGTTGGGGCAAAGGAGTCATAGGTGGTGGCTAGTGAGTTGGGTATGGGGGGGTCCCAATGGAGGGTACTCTAAAGAAGGGACCATAAGGCCTAACAACCCTGTTACATGTACACCTTCATTGACAGAAAGTTTGATAGGCCAAACTGTATGCAACCTCATCATCAGTCAACGAAAATGTAAACAATAAGTGTATAAATAGCTTAATTGTAAGGCCTACTGCAACGTGCCAAGAAAAGGGTTTATGTTACAAGAAAAAGCTGAGATGTCCAGCTAAAATTTTCACTTCATTCAGCCGTTCCAGGAAGGGCTCTGGCCATGGTGGAGGCGGAGGCGGAGGCCACGGTGCCCACATCATGGACTGCAAGAAGACGTGTTGCATATTGTTAAGCTGAGCTGATGAGCTAGGCATATATCTAGCAATAATGGATTTTTAAAACTACTGCAACTTGCATGTGATGCCAGTGCTACAAATCTGGTTGCTTTTGGTTTGGCTAAAACTGGACTTATATATACAGCTCAGTTCATCTTCTACTACAAAAATGACGTGTGTATGTGTTACCTCCTTAAATTCATGAAATTTATCAAAAATCAATTGTAAGAAAACTTTCTGGGAGACTTCAAGTGTCAAACAATGAATTTACAGGCATAAAGATCAATATAATCCTCCTTATAATAAGATACAGCGGGTACATCACCTATCTGTTTCTAGCCCTTTCTCGGAAGTCTTCTCATCACTGTAAACATGGTAATACAGAAAAATGGACACACAATTTCGAACAGGCTTTACATGTGCTACTCAGTTTTTCTATCTGCACCTCTTAATGGCCTGTGGAATAGTAACCTGTATTCACGGGAAATCAGTCATCGAGTTTATGAGGGACGATGTATTAGATTGCAGCTCTCATGGCTCCCCGAGCAGCCTCACGCTTCATCTCTGCAGCTTTGCCACTGCCTCGGAAGTACATGTATACTTGCTGTGGTGATGAGAAAATAAAATGTTAGTCACAAGTGCATGCCACGTCTCTTACTTGGACAGCAGTATAATTTCAGAGAGAAATGTAGGGAAAAGGACCAGAAAAAAGTAAGAGAAAAGAATTAAGCGACATCAAAGTTAGACCTGAATAACCCAGACACTGAGCACGGATTCAAGACAGAATAGTCCAAACCCGATGAAGTAGAAAACCTGCACAGATAAAACACCACAAACATTAAAAGACACTTTTCTAGATCTAAGCTTATATCAGATTGAAGACTGGATGTAAGTGAATGGAGTACTTCCATCATATTATAACTTGATGTACAGCTCGAGCAAGAATCTGAACATGACCAAAGATTATAATCCAACAAGAACTAAACTTACCCCGACTATTACGTGTTTGCCAATGAAATCTACAGCTGGGAGGATGCCTCTGCACCAAACAACAGATAAAAAGAAGCAATTTGACCAATCAGTAACCATGTACATACATTTCAGTTAGCTAAATATCAGCAAAGAGAAGATGGCATAAGATCCAAAATAATTCTATAGACTAATTAATGCAGAAAACGTATCAACTTGATAATGAACAATAAGAATTGAAGAAGAAAGGGGTTCAAAGAGAAGAATTTAGGGCAAGGAAATAGTTTTAGTACATGTTTGGTTCTGATTTATCACCCCAAAAAATCAATTTTTTTTACTGTTACTTCCCTAAGTCAACTCTCGTTTTTTATTTCTTCTCTCTGGGATCCACTTTTCTCTCTAACGGTCAAAAAATCAATTCTCATAATCACTACCGAACAAACCCTTATTCATACAAACTTCCAATATAAACAAACTTCCAATCTAAACAAACCTGAAATAAAAGACAACACGGTGGAAGTCAAACTACTAGAATCTAAATAAACTCAAATTCTACTAAGTCCTAGTCTTTCGCCTTGAATAGACTTTTAGTTCTTTCGTTGTTGCATCACTAATTACTACCGAACAAGCCCTTATCCATATATTTGTGGTATGTTTGTAAACATTGCCCTAAGTCTCTTTAGAGAGGAACTTCAAAATTAAATAAACTACCTATATAAACAAAATTCCAATCTAAACAAACCTGAAATAAAAGACAACACAGTTTAAGTCAAACTACTATAATCTAAATAAACTCAAATTCTACTAAGTCCTAGTCTTTCGCCTTGAATAGACTTTTAGTTCTTTCGTTGTTGCATAACTAATTACTATTGACAGGGCCTTAAGCCAATGCAAATCACATAATTATTATCATTTACACAAGTCAAGGAAGTGAAATGAACTTTACTGGCATAAGTTACAGGACAAAACTATGGTAAACGAAACTTTATCGAGGAACTTACGCCAGAGATTTTCCTTTGAAGACGACAGGAGGAGCAACAGCAGCAAAAATACAGAAGCCAATGTGAAGCTATAAACAAGGGCATAAGATGGTGAGTACTCTTAAGACTAGATTAAAGAACATATAAGGTTCACAATAATATAGGAAACTTACCAAGTAAAACAGGAAAAACCACCCAAACTTCATAGCACTCTCAGTCCTGTAACATGGTTAGTAAGTCGACTAAATGAACACGAGAAAAACTATTCATCAAATATTAATACGTTATGCAACCAAATGCATAGCAACATATCCGTTAATTAATCTAGATCTCCATATTATTTCAACTAATCTCTTGCACAGAAACCACTGACGATATACATGCCCAAAGAGTACAACTCCATTAGTTTTGTACCATTAAACCCTTTTGAACCGCCACATGATTTAAAAGATTTATGATATATCAACCATAAATGTAAAGCGTAACTTTGTAAAAACATAGAAACACGTACCTAAAAGCACGATAGAGTGGACGATACCACAATACATATGCACCGGGAACCCCTGCTATGAAGTAGATAATAGAAAGAAACCAAATCTTCGGGTCTAGAAAAATATATTGAAGTCAGGAAGACTATTCCAAAAAGGCACATATCATGTAGGAATAGGCTGGACAATAATTATTGATACAAACCTCCATCTTTAATCCATGCTGTAGTGACAGCTATGACATTCCAGAAAAGAGACAATGCAAGTCCTGGTCATACAGTACATACATTATAAATAAACCCTTCCAACACCCACAAAAGGCACAGAGAAAGGAGAGTTGCAGGTTTAGATACTCAAATAACGTACAAGCTATCATATTATAGAAGAAAATAAAGAGCAAAATATTCAATATAACTCACAACGCATAAAAGCATTTGAACTTCTCCAACACAGACATATATACAAGAAAACTTTTTAAGATATCCAAGCATCAAAAAATGAGACCAGGATTTTGCCACCCCCTGCAAATGTTGAACTGATACTCCACAGTTAAAATAACTTTTAACCATCTCAATATAATTGGTATCTTTAGATGCATGCAAATAATCTGGCAACTACTGCTGTATCTAAATGGAGAAAGCCTAAACCAGTGCAAAAGGCCTTCTCTCATCAATTAATACAATTAAGAATTGCGTAAAGAGAGACTATAGAGCAAAGGTGAATTTCCAATCTTCATAAATCATAACAAAAGCAAAATCACTTCAGATTGCATAAAATGTCAGCCAACAGCATTACAGCATTGACAGTGACAAATTATTTTTGAGTACATGAATAAGTAGAAATGAGGAATAGCAGGTTCAGTCAACTCAGTCATATCCAATCTACAGGTAAGGATTCGCCAAGTCCACCAGCTAGGCACAGATGGATTTTGAGAATAAAATAAAAATGAAAAAAAAAACGTTCAATAAACTCAAACTGCTTTCTCATCCTATTTGGAAGGAATTGTGACAAGAGAGCATCACATCAGGATAACAAAGAAAGAAATTGAGGGAGTAATAAGAAAACCACAAAGTTGCATACTAGCAAAACTTGACATACCTAACAAAGTTGTAAAAGCAACATACTGCAGTTTCTGTAGATGAATAGGTATTTCATTTGCAATATCATGATGTATAATAGGAAAAAAAGGTGGCCAGTTTTTCTCCTCGAGAACAATACCAGCTGCAAAGCAACAAAAATCAAGGGAGGTACAGTCAAATATAGCTGCATATTAGATATCTCTACCAATGTTCTCCAAAGATGTGGGGCATAATTGTACACATTTCGCCATCTAAAAGAACTGGAAAGTCGGAATATAGAAAAAAAAATGCTACCAAGGCGCAAAATAAGAAGATAAATAGCTGAAAGTCTGAAAAATGAAATCATGTACAGTTCTTCAAACTACGGTTGATAAGGCTTGCGTACATTCTCTTTAGAAAATAATAAACTATTTAAATGAACTTCTATAAGAAAAGTAGTTGTTTAAAGTGTCTTTTATGAGTAAATAGAGATACAAAACAATTAAATAATTGCTAAGACGGATAGTATCGGAAGGACTGGGTAGTGGTTTTTTATTTTTTCCCTTTGGAGAGCAGTTGATATGATAAAAGAGAGGAGAAACTGCTCTTACAGTGCCCACACCTTTCTTGAAAAGTAATGAAGGATAATTGTATTGTGATCTAAGAGTGTGCAATATTACACAAGCAGTGTTTTGATACTTTAATACTCGTACCAAAAGGGCATTGTGAAAAAATTGACAAGGGAAAGCTACGCGCTTTACGGGTTGGTAAAGGACTAATAGTCTCTCTTTTCTTTTTTATATTTTTTCTTAGGGGTTTTGAGGGGAGGGGTGTTTAGGTGTCAGAGAAGGTCATAAATGGATCCGATAAGAGCAGACAAATCACCTCGTCTAGCAGCCTCTTCTTTCCGCTTTACTTCCTGTGAAGCATCATTATAATAAGAACATGTTAAGAATACATTGATTCAAAAGCAAACAAAAAGTCATAAAGCTGGCCCATCTATATCCCAATATCCTCCAACATAATAATCTCTCAAACAAGACTTAAGGAACCTACTTCAATCTTGTTGCAACATTTTTTAATTTCTAGCATCATAAAATCTTCATACTGTCAAGAAGTTCCTTTGTGATACACGCGTTAGCATATCTGTAGATTTATGTGCAACTTGATGAATCTATGCATATAAGTACAAATCTTATGGATGTTTTACAGAAATAATTAGACATTATAATGTGCTAAAAGATGAAGTTCAATGTAATGGCTTGCAATCAACAGGGTTCCAACAAAAACAACTACCTATTTTTTCATTCAAACTATTATTTTGGTGACATTACGTATAAAGATTACTTTGTATGAAAACAGCATAAAAGTGGGCAGACCTTCTAGGTTATACATCTCACTGCCATTAGTTACTAGAAAATGCATGCCAGTTCAACATTAGAGGGAGTAATACGAGCTTGCCATATCTTCAAAGGTTAATTGTTCAAAATTTAAATATTTAATTAATATCTAATCAAAAAGATAGAAGTAGGGAGCTATGATCTTGAATTGAGCATACCAAAAGGCAATTAGGTTAGGGTTTTGCATTCCATAGTTGCTTTCATGATTTAACAATTAGTTGATGGCTACAAGTAAAGATAGCACTATCAATTATGGAGATCAAGAACAGGACCAATTCAAACAATTTAATGATGAGTCATTTTTTTCTTAAAAAAAGTACGAAAGATTAAGCAGATCTAGCAATTGGAAATTCATTTTCAGAAGTTTTGGATTTTCATAAATTAAATACCTGTTCCCTCCTTTTCAATTCAGCTTCCTTAGCTTGCAGCTCTCTCTCTTTCTTTTTCAAATCCTGTATTTAAAATTGATATGATCAGGTCATCATCATCAATAATAATAATAATAATAATAATAATAATAATAATAATGATGATGATAATGAAATTGCACGTACAGCAGCACTGTCAAGAGGAATATCAACTGGGGCGGTAGGATTGTAGAAATCAGCTGGTTCTGGAGGGAGAGGTGACAGCCTTGAGTTTGTGGCAGGGGGAACACTCCCAGTCTGGAAACCATAGAAAATTATGTTGAAAATAAAAGTTCAAAAAGGGTGGTTATAACCAAGCAACATAATTCATTACAATAATTTATAGACTAAAATCAAATCACTATTTAGCAATGAGAACTACCCAGAAATGGAATTACACAAGCGAGAATAGAACATTATGAACAAGAATGCATCTAATTAACCCATACATTTATGTCTTTAAGCATTTTAATTTTAAGATACAGGTTCAAGAATTAGAGTATGTTTACAAACAATTTTCACAAGATATTTGTTTTCATCATGTGTAGGAGAAAAAAGATGGACTCACTGTGGTATAAAATGAACCTCCACCAAACATTGACTGCCCCATTGCTTTTCCTCTAGCTCCTCCATCCTGTTATCAAAAAAATAAAAAATACAAAATCAAATATTAACTGCAGACATACAACACAATTAGGCCTATCAATCCAAGTCATCAATACGTAAAATCTACAATACATTGAGATTCCATTCACATGCAAAGGAAACTAATGCAACACAAAATGCTGTATGACTATTGAAACAATTTGAATTCCCAATATGATAATAGCTGTGCTAGAAACGAGCATAACAGAAATATGCTTCTTCTTACCGTATCTGGTGAAAGATAATACCACACATCATACACCGTATCAAGTATGAGAAAATTATAATATCAAACATAAGTAATTCAACATGCTGCAAATTTTTTTCCATAACCTGCAATGCTCCAACCTCAATGAACAGGTCAAACCTCTAGGCATAGTCGCCAACGTTTAACAGCTAAATGAGAAAGCACTCAATGACCAGAAGCTTGTGGGTCATTGGAGAAAATGTGCAGTTAATATGGAAGGAAAATTCATAAAAAAGTAAATTATGTTCCATTTATTCCTTGCAATTATCGAAGCTCCTTGATATAGAAGATGGTGAAAGTTGAAAGTGGTATAGCCTCTGAACATGGGCGTGCACTGGAAGTGCCTCGTTTAAAGTTCGTAATAGAAAATACGAAGTTGAAATATAAGGAATCACAACGTCCAAACAATGACAAAAATTACGTCCATATCCAGAATCCACATACATTTTACAGTTCAATGACTCCTATGTCCACCACCACCATTTCCACTGCAAAACACCATCTGCTTCTCTTCCATCACAACCTTTACAACCTTTTTGCACCACATCCACTATCATAGTTAAAAACAACCTTAGACCATGCCACCACAAAAATAATGGCATCTGGCAGAACCAGCACCACAACCCCCACATTACAGTGCCGCCTAGCAATAAATCCATCAGGAACCAGCATATCCTTTGCTGCTAACAGATTAGGATATTTCTTATTTTTGTAAGTAATTATTTATTAGTCAACCAAATGCCAGAAACATTCTTTAAAATAGCTTTTGAGGCTTACATCTCTAGTCCTGCCTCATGCAAGACTTTCATTAACCACCTCAAAGTTTATGCCTTAAGTGCCATTTGTGAAGCTTACGCCCCGAATTAGCGATACGTCCATACCCGATTTACATTGGCCAGAAAATGAATGGTAAAACGAGTTTTTTTCAAAAAATTACTTCCAATATAAAATATTTTAAGCTGAAACCAGAAGAGCCTTTGTCGAGAAGATGAGAGCTTTTAATGACACATACATACACACTTAGGAACATAACCTCAGGATTCTGCATATCTGATCAGCAAGCTAATAGTGACCCATACAAGCAAATGAATCTAAAACCTCACTGACTACAATAAAATATACACCAAACTTTCAAAATCAACAAAACATAATCCCAAAGAACTTACAGCAAAGGGATTGACTTCTTCCCCATCATCAAAAGGGTTGGGATCGTAACGGCCGGCCATAATTGTAATGGTGCTTCAGTTATATTAAAACTGAGGATGAGAATTGAGATCTTGTACTGTTATTAAAATTCTATCAGAAACCAAGTTAGAAAGTGCTAAAACTTAATAGAGAAGAAATTAAAAGAATTTGGGATTCAAATATTTGGAGCAGTCGACAATGTGTGTGAATAAAGACAATAGGACAGACCGAAAGAAAAGAAATGTAGAGAGAGAATGTTGGACTAACGTTTTATCTGCGTAATTAATTAAGATTAAAATAGACGACTTTTTCTTTTCTCTTATTAATAATGTCTTACTTTTCTTTTCTCTTATTAATACGGAGGATGTTAGGTGTACATAATGATATCCATAATAGGTGTCATAATATACAAATGGCACCCCTTTATTGGAGGGGTGTCGGTGACGTACAAGTAGATAAATCCTATTAATAATGTCTTACTTTTCCTTTAAACTTAAAATTTTTTAAAGAGTTTAATTTTCTCTATAATACAAATTCTTTAAAATTTATTTTCTTTTAAAATTCATTTCAAGTTTACATTCTTTCGGTAAAAAAAGTTTACATATACGCTCTTTTATTTTTTGTTGTTTCTAGTTTTAGAGCTTGATTAGTGTTGATTATGGGGAATCATTTTTTTGACCGTTACCTTGAAAAGTGATCCCATCTGTGAATGAAAATGTCAAAAATGATGGCTGACTATGTTAAGTAACGGTCAAAAAATTAATTTTTTTGATTTGAAAAATCAAAATCTAACGGGGCTTAATCACATGTTCTTTAAAAATTATTTTTTACAAAATTTATTCTAAAAAAAATACATCAAACACACTTTGAGATTATTTCTACGTACTTGCGATTTAATATGTTATCAAACTCGTTTAGAGAAAAGTGATGAATCCTAATCAAATCAAAGGTTCTTTATATTCTTCTAGAAAATTAATTTAGGAACATTTAGCAACAATTTTCTCTTAAATTATTTATCCTCATTTTGCTTTGTGCTCTTACAAAAAAGCCATTAGCATTTCAAAATGGACAAAGCTTTCTTACTTTAATTATTTATTAAGTGTATGTAATTTTGTTTATTAATATATAATTAATTATTACTTCATTGAAAAAAAATTATAATAATAATAATTTGTATTATTGAAAAAAAAATGGAGTAGTTGTACATTCTCTCTTTTAGAATAGACGAAGAGAGGGGGACTCGTCAAATGAATAATAATGGGCGGGTTTGACTGGAATTTCTAGATATTCAAATATTACTAATTTATTCATAATTATTTATAAACAATTTCAATTATGTTAAAGTAGATTGACCACCAACGATGGCTGCTAAGTTGAACATTCTCAATCTTCTAGATTAATTTTGTTGACCATGGAAATTCTCCATACTTACATCATCAACTTCCTCATCTCATTATCTGAATTTTCATTAGCCTATAAGTACAAAATGGGTGTCAACTACCGTCGAGTTAAACCTTCAACTTACGGCTGCGTCTACGCCTTCCTGAAAATGGATCTGCCCAGTTCCTGTCCTCTTTTATGGCTTGTTCCCACCTCTCTTTGAATATTTGAAGTTCTGTTGTTGATTGCTTCCGAATCTGTAAAATTCAACTACTTTTTTACAATGACAAAAAACTTGAAATCTTTCATTCAAGCCCGATTATCAGGCATATATATGATTTTAACATTATTTTGGCACGATATGTGCAAAGACAGTAATAATAATGCATGACAGATGGAGTTTACTCACCTCCAATCGCACATCAACGCCATGTCTCTGAAGATCAAGAGCGAAAACAGGAAGCACGTTAAATCATAGAAAATTCTAACATGTAAAACCACTTAATTGCTTGTAATTTTAGAAAAAATAAATAAATAAAAACAAAAGAATGTGAGTTAAACCTTCACATATTTTTGGCGACTTGAACCCTGTAGAGATATCAAACATCATAAGCTAAGTAGATGGTTCGAGACAAACACCATATCCGGATTCAGTCAATTTAAACACTTAACAATTAAGGTGAGAAGAGAAGCAATTGAAATTTTTTTGGTGTTTGTTCACAAAACTTGCATGAGGTAGTAGTAAATGGACCTTATCTTTAGAGTAATGTATCTTCATTTGAGATAGTTGTGAAGTCATACACGGATTAATAAACTTAAAACATCAGGTAATGATACAACGTTGGACAATTGCAGACTACAGATGAACCCATACCAGTATAACAGAAAGCAATTGTGAAAATGAAGCAGGGGGAAGTGGGGTGTTAAAGGAAGTCACCTTCTTTGCAGAAGCCCCACCAAGAGTTTGTATACTCTGATGAACAATATATTCACTATCAACTACTCCCACCTTCTTTGTGCGGTCACCCTATGAAAGTTCCAAGTTTATACAAGACAGGGTTACAAAAATCACCAAAAAAATGTTTTACAAAATTAATACTCCTTTGTCCAAATTGCTATAAGCCTATTAATTATTGAAGCTTATGAAACAGGCAGATGCTTAGCTTAAACTAGCACAAGAACTTTAACCGTGCTTGCGTGTGATTTATGTAAAGCCCCAAAATAATCTACTATTTAGTTTTGCTAGAAACCTTTCAGGGGGCAAAAGGGTGGCACTGTTTTGAAAGAACTAAAAATGAAGGTCTTGTTGCAAGAAGAAGAAAGAGGAATAGGAACTCGTATATTTGCCCGTGAAATAAGAGTTCATTGGCAAGGGACGGAAGTACAAAAACTTCTTTGGTAGCAAGTATAGCACAGGGGTTATAATAAGTTTAAGCACCTGTAGTTCTACCTTATTGCCAATTGGGCCATTTATATTTGAATTCCGTTAAATGCTCTCATTTTTAGTACATGTGGAACATTCTCAAAATAAAACAAAACTCTCAAAGTTAATACGGAAACAGCAAGTTGACAGTTATATCATCCAAGCAGCCCCTAAGCAACCAAATTACCTGAGCACAGTAGCCGAGTTTCATGTCCATCCCCCATCCATGAACAAGATCATTCTAACAGATGGGACAAAAGTTGTAAGATTTATTGAAATGCCAAAAAATGCAGATTTTACCCAAATTGGAGTTAAACAGTAAAACATTCATAGAAGCAGGTTGTAGGTTAATTAACTAGACCAGAATAACAGTATGAATAATTTCAGAAGCATATTAGCATAGACGACAAAAGTTTTCATCAGGGAAACACACTGGAGGACCACTAGCAAATAAAATACACAAAATCAGTCCCTTTAATTTGGCCACACACTCTACATTGCATCAGCTTATCACCAAAAGCAACAACAATTGTGATCAGATAATTTAAGGAATGGAGGGGAGTGCATCCAAAGGTTTTCTTTTCTGAATCTTTTGTTTTTTGCTAGGAAATCAGAGGAAAAATAAATAGTTGCAAAAGGTACCATGTTTAATGTAGGGAACATCAAAATTTTTATGTCACATACAAATAATTCTCCCTAAATGACGAGTAAATTTTGAACATCTAAGCACTTTGAATAATTTAGATAAAGGCACATAGTGCGTAAATTACACCGATAAGGATGATAGCAACTATTGCACTACTCACATGCTTGCTTCAATAAATTTCACACCGTAAGATCTATGAAATAGGGATTTATTCACAGGAAAGCACCAATACCTACCTGTATCAAATGCCAGGCACAATCCCATGCAGATTTTGAAAATACAGGAGCCATTCCTTCTACAAATCTGCAAATTTGAAGTGATCAACATGTTTAACTAAATTGTATAACAATTTCTTCCTATGACCATTTGGTATGCGGAAATCAGAATAGTTCAAATATTTATTCTTTTTATTCTTTCGTATGTCACCAAGTTAGAGCATGCTTAGAGTTTCCTTGTTTTTATTTCTTATCCATTGTATATAACATCACATTATGGTGGATACGTACACGAGTATCTCATTTCGGTACTGGATTTACTATCCAGAATGTTTATTTCCTATACGTGGCGATATTATTAATAGATAACAAAATAATTAACAATATTTTACTAGCAGTTATTATATACTTCTTTTCATTGCAAGATATATATTTTTTATAGGAGTAATAGTTCATAATTTTCAATAGAACCTGCTAAAGCTAACATTAAGTCATTGTCAATCATAATGGTATGTTGTCAGTCAGATATAAACCACAGAGAGAAAATTGTTGAAATCCATTTTACTTTATGCTTCCTTTCTAGCATCATTCCATGACCAAGCAATAGAATGGTACTTAGCATTCATTGTTCACACAAGGTCAAATGATATTTTCATCCAACCAATTCCATATTATAATCAGGCCTCAAGCAAGCAAGGGTTCATTAAGACAATAAATGACAAGTTTTCTGAGATGGAAAATGCACATATTGAGTTAGTTGCACAGAAACGATATTATGAGAAAAATTAAGTTCCAAAATAGCAGAAGTAACATACCCAGTGCAAGGAGGCCCTTCACTATCATCTGAACATTTAACACTTCCTCTGACGTCATATACTCTTCTGCTTAAATCAGAATATGTAAGTGCTAACATCAAAAGTACACATAGATGGAATTCAGAAGTCCAACCGTGTAACTTTATGCCCAATTCACCTGTGGAATTTATGCATTCTATTTCTTATTGTAATCCTGTGATGTATACCAGTTGAATTTGGGTCCAAAGCTGGCTGAGATATCTCCAGTCCTTCTGATCTTACAATTTCCAGGTACCTGTGGTTGAAGCGAAATTAGGGAATCAAATAACAGAATCCAGGAATTAAGAGCAGCCGTCAAGGAAGGATAACCCTACATAAAACTTGCACGGTTGGAACTGGTATTTTCTATTCGGATTAATCTGGAAACTATACGTGGTATCTTTAGATGTCTAAGTACTCGTTCGACTTAAGATGTAACAACTTCTAATTTTTACAGAGAAAAAATACAGCATTTGTCAACTCAACGTAATGAAGCAAGCTTAGAGAGGTAACTGGTATAAAAAAACTATTCTATTATTTTGGATAAAATTAGCAAAATAGAGGGACAAGGATATAACATCGCACACGTGCAATAATTGTACCTTCCGGGATGGAAATTATCCACCCCCAAATCTTCATCCCACAGGAATATGTAATCGTAAATAGACACAACAGCCGGATGTAAAAAGCGCTTTGCGAACCACCTGAAACAAGAATAAATATAAAAATTACATTGAAAACAATTAAACTTTAGCGTGTTTAGGACATGAGCATTTGAAACAAACATCTGCATCAGATATCAATTGCAACAATTTCCCATTTTAGTGGTCGAGAATTTACAAATATCTGAATAGGTCATTCAAACCATTAACCAATTTCTAGCAAGTCCAATTTCATAGCATGTAATGCATTGCAATGTATAATCCTTAAGAGGAGGTCAACGGTGGGAGAAGTTGGAATGACTGGTTGCCACTAAGTTGTTCTCATGTCCTGATACCATACTATAAGTTAGAAGTCACGTGTACTACTTAAAAATCTGCTTTTTGCATGTTACAGCACAATGTAATCCAAAGTGTGAACTAATTACTAACAATTGTTAAAAAAATTAGTTTGTGTGGGATTGATAACCCTACTTCTTTATCGAATTCTCATCAATCCACTATTCCAAAACACATTCTTTAAAAAGAATGTGGCTCAAACACACCCTTTATTACAATGGAAAATTTCAAGTTTGGGCAGATGAAGGACAAGAAACTGGATCCAAATTACCCAGTCTTACCACTTCGTTTGGTTGTGAGCAACAATATGTATAGCTTCCTTGCTCCATTCCAAGTCCCTCCATCCATTTACATTGCCATCATAATGGAATAAAATAACTGTAAATTTCTCTGAAAGAAACTGAAATCAAAAGATTCAGGCAATGGACAAGGACAGTTAAAAAACTAATGAATCAGCATAGAGTTTTTAAAAGTTCAAACATCAATAAAATGCGACACCTTTTGAACTATAGTATCAACATTCTTCTTTTGCCTAATTCCAACTGGTATTGCTAACAAATTATGAGAACTTCCAACGTTAACCTGAAAAATGGAAATCAAAGAAGGCCATGTATCAACTTTCGGTCATTGCTTATTTTACCATCAAAAAATTTATCAGACTGCAGTGAATGTAAGGGAAACTTTTAACAACTGAGGGCTAATCATAATCAAAGGATTACACATACTCATGATACAGGGAATAGGGAAAAAATCAGCATATTTACTCCTCGGAAAATCAATATCAAACATTTACCTGTGACTTAGAACTGCTAGTAGTCCACAGAGGCTTTAACTCCAGATCTGACCTTGGTTCGATGATTCCACGGGGTAAACTATTTAAGCTTGAGGCAGCCCTGCTCCCATCCTGGATAAAAGCATCAATAGTACCTCAGTATTGCAATGAATGAATATCATAAGTTTCACAAAAGTTAGTGATGCTGCAAGACCAATTTGCTATGCAACTCAGTAAGTTAGCATATCCTGTAGTACATACAACAATAATACAATGAAGTGTTAACATAAGTATGTGATGAGAAGCTACCTTTGATGTGTAGAAGGGGTGCAATTTTGATTCGATCTGATAGAAAGAAACGGTTAAAGTGGTTATAGACAAACTATGCATAATCTAATAGTTCAAATTGAAAAAAATATTAAGTAAACTTGAAGTTAGTTATACGGACTGCATACTTCTGTCTGTTGATACTGATAATTTGTGGTCCTATACACAATGAATAACATTACTGTACAGACAACTCCCATAAACGGCAGCTGATTCATCTTTGCACCACATACTCCCTGCAACACCATTGCAGTCCCGTCTATAAGTTAAACATTCTTACCTTAAATTGCTTGTCCATAGCTTATACCAAAACCAAAATAAACACGTTTAAGGAACATACCACCTCAAATGAAAAATGTCCTTTCTTCAACAACGAATGCCATGATTTGGATGCCTTCATAGGCAAATTTGAGTTTCTACAGTCTGGCAACAAACGGCAATAAATGCATGCATATCCGATATTTCATTTGACCGACATATGCATTAAAATCTGTAGAAACACTTGTTATAGGCTAATAGACAGTGGCTTTTAACAAACACGTATTCAACTTGAGATTGCAATAATACAAGATTAATGACAAATTGAATAAGTATTGAACCCGAACGCATCGGAACTTCACCATCAAAGAACATAAAAAGTAAGCACTAATCAAACGGCAATAACAATTAATAATAAATACATTATAACATCCCCCCTTTACCAAAAACGAAAAATAATATTAGCAATCTTTAATTATTCGAAATAAATTTCAAGAACTGGATCGTGGTTTTAATCATTCTTTCTCAATCCACCCCATTACAATAACTAAAACAAAAAAGAAAACCATTAATCTAGAACTCAAAACACATACCTCAGGCCTTGAATTCAATTAGTCCGATAATAACGCGATTCATCCGTGAATGAATCCACAGCTGAAAAAAAAGAAGCTGTGTCTGTATTAGATTGGCTACAACGAAACTGTTGTTCTACAACAGAGTACTATATATTTCTCTCTCTCTCTCTCTATATGCATATGGAGTGTGTATGGAAGAAAGGGAAAGATCCTAGACAGACAGACAGAGGACAGAGATAATCAAAGGCGCCGGCTCGTACAAAGCGGAGAGAATTGTGAAAATGCACTGTGGAATAAATAGTACTGTGTCATATGAATATGTAATTAATTAATTAATATAATTAATACAGTGGGGTTCATTTTTATACAATAGTATATGTAGAAACGTGTCTGATCCTTGATGAGTTAGTATAAGTCTATGACATGTCGACACGTGAATGGATGTGTCTAGTTCAGTTCAAGGATTTGTTTGGTAAGACTTTCAAAAAAATATTAAAAAGGTAAAAAATTATTTTTGGACATGTTTGAATAATTTTATAAAATACCTATTTTGCTGTGCTAAAAGTTAATTTTGCGACTAAGAAGTTGCTTTTAAACATATTTTAATAGTTTTCTAAAGTGATGATTTCTTTATATACCCTTAAAAATATTGTGTCTGATTGGAAGAATTTTTAAATAAAGTTGATTCAATATAATTTTCTCAGGAAGCATTACTACAAAAGCGGATGCTATCCCGAACAAACCATAATTATCTTACTTAAAATGTGAATTTGAGAGTCAATTGACACGTTTTTGGTGTTTGTTTAATTTTGTGTTTATAGACTTTTAAAATGAATTGGGAAATGCAATAAATTTACATGCTATCTTATTGTTTTGACATAAATTTCAAAATTACTTCTATGTGGAGATAATTTTATAGTAGTAGTTATTTATCTTTAGGCCATTGTATTATTAAACGCGGTTTTTAATGAATTCTTGCACGTCGCTTAACTAATATCAAATTTTCTTGGTACATAGGTCGATGTATTATATTAAACTGTTTACTTGTCAATAGTATGAAAAACTTTAAAATGATTGTATCTCTATTTAAATTAGTAAATTTAAAATTTAAGATTAATATAACTACAAGAACATAAGTCAATTGTCTTTTAGCAAATATTATGGGATTGAGTGAACAATTGATTAAGTCGAGAATTGTTGCTTTGCCCCTTAAGTTACGTTATAGCTTAAATTTAAGTGATTTTGTGGTTTCAATAAGCATTGAGCCTAGCCACCAAAATTATGAAATCTTATTATTGTAATCTATCTTTGGGAGACTCATTGCTTCCTTAGTTAGGTTACACATGGCTGAGTTCCTCATTTACGAGAATTTAATCAAATTGGATATCAATTGAAGTTATATTCATAGAATTAAATCATTTCACTTATAGTATAGAATCAAATAATTCGAGAAGTGTAGATATAGCTATCAATGGAAGTTCTATCAATTTATTATTTTTTTCCCCATTTTTCAGAAAAGATAAAAAAGGAAGAAAGAAAAGTGTTGACCTCTGAATTCAATTGGAACTAAGGAGTAAACAGTTCCAAACTCTTTTTTCATGTACATTACATGCATATTTGAGCAACCACAATGAAAGCACAACCTGCTTTGGATGAGGGTGCAACGATAGTATGTAAGCTGAATTCTGAAGCTCAAGCCGATGTAACAAATAGGGTGTATCCAGGATTGGACTAAAAAGGAAAAATTAAAGTCGAGCTCATATATGAAAAAAAATGGATGGAATCTGTGACACGTGATCTCATCCCAATGATTACTTTTTAAGCTTAGTGACTTCAGTCACTAGCCTTGTGTAGCCTCTCACCCTTAGGGGGATTAAGGATATGATTTATTTGTCACCCGTCCTTGTAGGGCTATCAAATCATGTTACTATACACACACTACTCAATGTGTTAAAACAAAATCAATTTTGCTAAAACAAAATCAATTTTGCTGCTTGTATTGAAGAAATCCTATCGGATGTTTTACAGGTGGTAACATCTGGTCGGTTACTTTTTTTTTTAATCAAATGAAAAACTGCCAACTGTAACTACAAACATTTAGGCATTGCTTTATTTTGTACACGTAGTACTGTCCTAAAAATATAGTAGTTTCAAGGCATCTGGAGTTGACATCAACCGCCTCAGATTGCAGAGGCCCATTCCACATGGTCAAGGATTTGGGTCTCTCTCCATCGCCTCGAATTGCAAGAAAAGTGAAGTGATATTGAGTAGCATTGCCTTAGAGGGAAAGCTACCGAGACGTACGATCACCACTGAGCCCTTGTGAGCATGCAAACCATTTCATAATTTTCTAGTTTTACATTAATATATATATATATAATTTTTTTTTTTTTTTAATGACGGGGAATCTGCAGCAGCTATCCTTCGGATGTGCACTAGGTAAACTTTAAGGTTGATACAATAGCCTGCAAACTACGTCAACCAGATAAACCATACTAGGCAAGCCCGATGCGACAAACTTGACTGAAAAAGTGTTGATAGGGGGGAATCACACATTAAAATTGTCAATTATTCTAAGTACACGAAACTCATATAAGTTAATTCACTATCAAGATTATCTAGAGAAAATAATGCAAAGGGAGACAGTGTAGTAGAAACATTTTGTTATTGAGTGGAGGTTCAAACATTTTTTTGGTGAATTTTGGAAGGGAAGTTAGGTTAGTTATAACAAATACCAAAATTTTTAGATTAATCAATAGGCCATACTTACAAAGTCCACCCTCTACACCAAAAATAAAAAATAAGTTAGAAAAAAAGTAGGAGCTTTAGAGATGAGTGTCTCAATAAAAAATAAGTGATAAGACGAGAAAATAAGTTAAGATTCATATTTAATAGGTATAAATTTTATCAGACGAAACTTGCATCCCCCCCTCCCTTCAAAAAGTTTATATAAACAATCTCACGAAATGTGTAAGCAAAAATAATTTGACCAATTACAAAACGTATACAAACTTTAGCATAAAATGACATTGGTCTTCCAATACAATGATCTTGTTTGAATTAGGATTTCAAACTTCAATTGAATCATTTGTTGAGTTAATGACATTTGTTTTGTAATGACTATAAGAACGAGTCAAAATGACTTGTCCTGCACTTACACGCAATAATTTTACCGAAGGCGAAATGGATGCACTTTCCTTCTTTCTTGACCCAATGGGATTGGGACGCGGTTGGTTTAGTAATCACTTTTCAATGCCCACCAAATCACAAATACCAACTTCAATTGGGCAAACAAACATTGCTACCTAGAACACCATATTTGGGTATTGCCTTTGGACTCTTTAAATTAATATTTTTATAATTTACAAACCTAACCAGTAGTTAGAATAATATTTTCAAAAAGTACGACTCTATTATATACAAATAAAATTAGTAGGGATATTACGATAAATCCTTGTGCGATTCTTTCAGTTTAAAAAATGCAAACAACTCAATATTGTGTTTGAAATGAACCACTATCTTGTGAGTGTTAAAATAAAACTTTACTTTATAGCATTACTCTAAGTTAAGGCTCGATAATTTTCCTTTTATGAACAGTTAGATAATGCAATATTGCATCAGTTGTGCTTTATACTAGTCTAGGTGGCCCGGGACCCACCAACCACCTAATTTTGTGCTAAGAGTAATAAAAGTATGAGTGACATTAAATAAAAATTAAATGGGTCACGTATTCCTACTTTTAATTGTCCACTAGAAATTTAATTCTTTTTATTCTCTCTCTTCAATAATTGTAGTGAATAATTTTCTTGCTGAATATAACAATAATGATATTTATAGTCAGCGACGGTAATAATTATTTTATTCAACATCTTATGAGCATAATTTAAATAATTAAAAAAATAAATTATTTTTAATAATATTATATCATGTGTTATTATTATTATTAAAAAAAAGGTTGAATCTCAACCTTGAAAACCCCATCGCCCTGCTCTTGGAGTATCGTGGGGAGGTAAATCGTCGAATATGTCCCAATAGGCTAAGGAACAAGAGTTTGTTCGTACACTGGTGTTTACAAAAAGTCCAATTCCATAGCTCAAGAATCGAACCTTCACATCTTAAGAATCGAACCCTCACACTGCGGCTGCGGCTGCAAGCAAGATTGAGACTACTTCACTCCCCTTCTTTGCATCATTGAATTATGCCTCGTGAGCATGTATTATTATTATTATTACTGCTGCTGCCGCCGATGAATAGTACTTCTCTCAGTGTAACCTACTCGGATGGTTCGAACTTTTGTGTAAAGGAAGGTCAAAGAACATTAGACGTCGTCAAGTGCAATGGGCAGTCTCCGAGGTATGGGTAGGGAGTGATATTAAAAAACATTAACTAAGCAGAAGACGAGGGTCTTGTTGGGCACGTGGCCTCCAATCCATGCTTGCTGTTGCACCCCAATTGGTCTATAATTCTGCACTGTACTTTAATATTACTGCTACTACCCACCATTAAAATCTTGGACTAAGGAATCTCTCCACTGAGATTAGTAGAATCTTTATTTTATTAAATAAGAAATAATCTTCATACTAAAAGCGGTCAAAATTGTAATATGTTTATCATTTTGGGCTTGATGTTGGGCTGGACTTGTAAATGGGTAAACCGGAATCCAAACTCAGGCCCAAAAACGAACTGTTGACCAAATCCTACCCACGTAACAGACAACATACACCATTATCTAGCCCATCCATATCCGGCTTAGAGCCTGTTTGGTATGGCCTTTGACAATTCAAAAGGGAGCTTTTGAGATCCAAGATTAGCGTTTATACCAATTCGACTAATTTTATGAAGGGAAAAATTCACAATTCAAGCATTATGTGTGGAGCAAATCAATTTTCAGGTTCCAAGTTTCAAAATGCAAAACTCGGTGATTAACTAATTAATTATAAATATTTTTAATTAAATATATTAATGTTACAGTTATACAATTAATGGTCCCATGTGCGTACATATAGGTTACAATATCACATATTATCAAATTAATTAATCACAGATTAATTCATGGTCAAAATAAAAAATTTTGATAAGTCACAATTTATTTCATCAGTTATAAATAAATAAAATTCATAGGTCACAATTTATTTATCGATCAGTGATTTCAAATTAATTGTTCACAAATTATTATTTTTTTAATTTCAAATTATCAAATTTTTATGTCATAATTATATAGTTCGTCACAAATAACCAAATAATTGGTCACAGATTAATCAAATAGATAGTCACATATACCCAAGTAGATGGTCACATACC